ACACACACACACACAGACTGCTGAGTCCATACACACAGACTGCTGAGTCCATACACACACACACACACACACAGACTGCTGAGTCCATACACACACACACAGTCCATACAGTGTGTGTGTATGGGGATAGTGGGGGGGCAGAGTGTGTGTATGGGGGGCAATGTGTGTGTATGGGGGGCAGTGTGTGGGGCAACGTGTGTGTATGGGGGGCAGTATGGGGGGCAATGTGTATGTATGGGGGCAGTATGGGGCAGTGTGCGTGTATGGGGCTGTGGCAAGGTGTGTGTGTATGGGGGCAGTGTGTGTGGGGCAATGTGTGTGTATGGGGGGGCAGTGTGTGTGTGTATGGGGGGCACCATGGGACTGTGTGTGTGTATGGGGGCAGTATGGGGGGCAATGTGTGTGTGTATGTGGGGGGGCAGTGTGTGTATGTGGGGTGTAGGGGGGCAGTGTGTCTATGGAGAGCAGCATGGGGGCAATGTGTGTCTATGGGGAGCAGTATAAAGCAATGTGTGTATGGGGACTGGGTATGGGGGGCAGTGTGTGTGTGTATGGGGCAGTGTGTGTATGGGGGGGCAGTGTGTGTGTATGGGGGTAGTGTGTGTAAAGCAGTGTGTATGGGGGCAGTGTGTGTGTATGGGGGACAGTGTGTGTGTGTATGGGAGGCTGTGGCAGTGTGTGTATGGGGGGGCAGTATGGGGGACAGTGTGTGTGTATGGGGGGCAATGTGTGTGTATGGGGGGGCGGTATGGGGGCAGTGTGTGTGTATGGGAGGCTGTATGGGGGCAATGTGTGTGTATGGGGGCAATGTGTGTGTATGGGGGGCAATGTGTGTGTGAACACCCCCCCCCCAGCCTACCTGTCACTGGAGGATGTTGCTGGGGGTCAGGCAGCCATCTTGTGAAGCAGCATGGGCTGCTGCATTACGGCGGGGGCGGGCTTATCGGTGGGAGGCAGGGCTTCGTTTGGGGGTGGGGCCTGTGCCGGGGAGCCAATCAGTGCTCCCTCCGGCCACAGACAGCCCCCAGCACCTCAGCACTGCATTCCCTCGGGCTGTGACAGGCTGTTACAGTTTGAGGGAAGCCCATGGCCAGCAAGTTGCCGGCATTTGGGGGGGCCCAAGGGGGGGCACAGCATGATGTAGGGGGGGCCATGGCCCCCTCTGGCCACCCCCTAGCGACGTCACTGACGCTGCTCCATCTTAAAATGACAGAGAGGCTGACATGATGACATGTTCAGAAGGGTATGCTAACCTATTAATGATATTTGCAAGCATGTAATTTAATCTTATAAACTCTGCTATAATGGATTTTATATTTATATTTTTATATAATAAATATCCAAAAGACAATCTTGCTTCCAAGACAATCCTTATTTTATATTGTATTCTCAATTATTTATATATGGTAAATAGAGGATCTCTTACACTATATAAAATTATGGCTAAGATGTCTGTATGGTTAGCCCTACTAAGTTCTATGCTTTAAGACATTATAGTGGTAAATAAGGGAACCACCAGTGGTTACAATTGGCGACCATGAAGGGACACTTGTACTAAAGCACGATTTGCAGCATTTCTTAAACTCTACATATTATGTACATACCGGCAAAGCAAGGAACTCCTGTAAACATAAACACACATTGATACAACAAGGAATCTGTAATAGTTCTGTTGCAGATGTGATCTACCGTCGTACTCCTTGCTCTATTGGTATAACTATACCAATCAAAACGTTAAATGGCTCCATAGAATCAAACGACAAAGCATTCTTGCTATATTCTGGACTTCCAGGAATGTGGTGCATGGACCAAAAATTATAATTACTAAAGCAATCATCTATTTTTTTCCCTGTATCAGAAATGTGTCAGTGATAATGTGTAATATAATAGAGATACTATAATTAATGGTATAAGAAACACATAATGTGTTAATTACAAAGGTGGATAGACTTTGTGAATATCTGAAACGCAATTGAAGATTATTGCTAAAATGCCATATGCAGCTGCAGTCTGGCCTACAAACAAATATATTAAACATACGTATAAGAACATAACAGCTAGTTACCCAGATGAATAATTGAATCACGATAGTTAAAGATCATATGATTGCAATAACAACTGCAATAATGAATAATGTTTAAACTTCAGAAGAAAATGTAAAATGTGTTTATTAAAACAGAAACTACTCGATATTCATTTAAGTTTGCAGAGTGGTATAATTAATATAAGTGAAATACTTCAACAGTTAAAATTTAACTGAAAGACAGGCAGAAACTTTACTTCAACTATCATAAAGTTTATTTATAATGATAAAATATTCAGTCTGCCAGAGCCAAGGCCAGTCAATGGAAAGTAAAAGAGTATTATGGATTAACCCATCCAGGTGATATACATGATGATTTTGGAAATTGATCATTTAGGTCACCTATTGCAAACTGGTGAAAAGATGTCAAAGATATAAATTCAACATCCATACCACTCTATGTATATATATTTTAAAATACACGTAATCAAATATTTTATCGTTTTTTTCAAATACCAAGAAAACTT